AACCACTTTATAATTTTGTGTTTTGTTTCAATTTTTTAAAATAAGAAATTAAATATGGGGCTGTTTAAGCTCACCACAACCAATTCAATTAAGAAATTGAATGTAACATGAGCAGCATTTTAGCACCAGCCCATACATTGTACGGGTCTCTTCTAATAATAATAATAAAAAAACTGAATTAATCTCAATCCTTTGACTATAGGAAATAAGAACATTTGGCAAAAAGAATTAGAGATTGGACCAACCCAAACCCAACCTAAACTCAAAACGATATCAACCAAACCTGAAAATTTTTGGTTGAGTTAGGGTTTAGGGCTCTAGAGCTTCGGTTGTGTTAGGATTGACCTCAACCTGAACTAACCCGGCTCGACTTGTACCCTTATTTGGTTTTGGTAATGTTGGGTCATGCCCTCCTTTTGGTGTTTAGCTCTTGGGGTAGTTCATATTTCATAATTCTGGTTTCTTTTATTTCTTTGGTTGTTTGCTCTAGTGTTTTTATGGATATTGGGCAACCACCTCTAGTTACTGATGAATCAGTTTTTCATGCTAAGTACATCGTTATTTGGTCTGCTTCTAAGTGGCCGATGACTCAGAGGCCGAAGTGGAGAACTTTTGCTGGATGAGGACCTGGATGACGGGTTGACCAGGTCAAGCTGGGGGGATATTAGGTGTCGAGCTGACTGAGCCGAGCTGGGCAGGCTAGGTGCCGAACTGACTGGGCCGAGCTGGGCAGGTTAGGTGTTGAACTGACTGGGCCGAGCAGGGCAGGTTAGGTGTCGAACTGACTGGGCCGAGCTAGGCATGTTAGGTGCCGAACTAACTGGGCCGCACTGGGCAGGTTAGGTGTCGAACTGACTGGGCCGAGCTGCCTATTAGGTGTCAAGCTGACTAGAGTGTCGGGCTACCTATTAGGTGCCGAGCTGACCAGAGTGTCGAGCTGCCTATTAGGTGCCGAGCTGACCAGAGTGCCGAGCTACCTATTAGGTGTTGAGCTGACCAGAGTGCCAAGCTGACTGGTGGCGAGCTGGTTTGATTGTTGAGCTTCGTAGTTCTTTAGAGACCTGTAAGGAATCAATGTTAGATGACTCAGAGTGGCTAACCTGGCGGGGTCGCTCCGATGATTAAGTCAGTACTCTCATAGTAGACTGCGAGCTAAAAATCACAAAAGTATGAGAGCTATAATATGCTTACTTGCCCCCTTCATGTCATTGGGGTTGGTGCCTTTATATAGGCATTGTTTGATGTGGGTTTCACACACCATATCCGAGATTTTCGAGAGGTCGCCTAAGTGGTCCGAGATTCTCGGAGGCAATCTCCATGCACGTTGACCACTCTCCAGATCATTCGGTACGGGGACCAACTTCCAAGGATCGTGGAAGTGTTGGGATATGCATGCTGAATTTTTCGACGAGCACGTCTCGCAGGTCGCCAGGTCGGCGCCTGTGCCAGGTCGCCAGGTCGGCCCTTGTGCTAGGACGCCAGTTTGGCAGCTATGCCAGGTCGCCAGGTCAGCGCCTGTGTCAGGTTGCCAGTTCGGCGCCTGTGCCAGGTCGCCAGGTTGGTGCCTACGCCAGATTGCTAGTTCGGCACCTGTGCCAAGTTGCCAGCTGGGACACCATCATCTTGGCTAAGGAAAGTTGTTGCCTAAGTGGTTCCGGATGTCACTTAGTTGTTCCGAGATGCCACATGTCACAATGTCATTGGAGGGCCAAATCCACCCTCATCAATTGCCCCCACTCTCGAGCTGAAAGTAACTCGGCGAAGGGAGTAGATTGCTCCTTTTGGCCTGGAATGACTAATTCGATGAGTTCGTAAGCGTTGATCCAATTTGTTTCTCAAGTTGGAAGAGTCCAAGTGTTTGCAGCCTTAGGGTCTGGGAGCGACTCACAGTCCACTCTCCTTACCCTTGATTTTGCCCATGCCGAAGAGGCGACTGGGTCTTATGTGGCGTCGAGGTCTTTTATTAGCTTGGTACTTTATCCCTTGGGCTCTGGGAGCGACTCGCAGTCCACTCTCCTTACCCTTGATTTTGCCCATACCGAAGAGGTGACTGGGTCTTATGTGGTGCCGAGGTCTTTTATCAGTTTGACACTTTAGCCCTTAGGCTCTGGGAGCGACTCGTAGTCCACACTCCTTGACTTTGCCCATGCTGAAGAGGCGACTGGGTCTTATGTGGTGCCGAGGTCTTTTATCAGTTCGGCACTTTAGAGCTACGGCTGCGCTGCATCAGCCTCGTTAGTGACGCCGGTCACCCACTCCTACAAGAAGCTACTGGGAGTTTGACCTACGGGGGCTGCACTACTAACTTTAGGTCATCAGCTTGCACGGGAGCCTTGGAAGGCTCGACCGGCAGGGGCGTCCGTGCAGTCCGTTGGCTGCCAATTCCCGCGGAAGCCACGAAGAGCTCATCTTGTAGAGGGTACCTCGCGAAGAGGACTGATGAGGCTTTATCCGAGTTGAAATAAAGTCGGCAGAGCTGCTTAGTCTGTTGGCCATAGACTTCCTACATAGTCTTTGAGTTCATAAAAATTGGAAACTAGAAAGTGATAGCTTTAGTTTCTAAAAGGTGAGAACTTAGCTTTCTGGAAGAAGAGGACTTAGCCTTTCAGAGGATGAGAACTTAGCTTTTTGTAGCGTTTCCCACAGACGACGCCAATTGATGAATCAATTTTTCGTGCTAAGTACCTCGTCATTTGTTCTGCTTCCAAGTGGCCAATGACTTAGAGGCCGAAGTGGAGAACTTTTGCTGGATGAGAACCTGGATGTCGGGTTGACCAGGCCGAGCTGGGGGCAGATTAGGTGCCGAGCTGACTGAGCCGAGCTGGGCAGGTTAGGTGCCGAATTGACTGGGCCAAGTTGGGCAGGTTAGGTGTCGAACTGACTGGGCTGAGCTACATATTAGGTGACGAGCTTACCAGAGGGCCGAGCTACCCATTAGGTGCCGAGCTGACCAGAGTGTCGGGCTACCTATTAGGTGTCGAGCTGACTAGAGGGCCGAGCTGCCTATTAGGTGCCAAACTGACCAGAGTGCTGAGCTGGATTGATTGTTGAGCTTCGTAGTTCTTTAGAGACCTGCAAGGAATCAATATCAGAGGACCTGTGGTGGCTAACCCGGCGAGGTCGCTCCGATGATTAAGTCAGTACTCTCATAGTAGACTGCGAGCTAAAATTCACATAAGTATGAGAGCTAGAATATGCTTACTTGCCCCCCCCCCTCATGTCATTGGGGTTGGTGCCTTTATATAGGCATTGTTTGGCGTGGGCTTCACGCACCATATCCGAGATTTTTGAGAGGTCGCCTAAGTGGTCCGAGATTCCTAGAGGCAACCGCCATGCACGTTGACCACCCTCCGGATCGTTCGGTACGTGGACCAACTTCCAAGGATCGTGAGAGTGTTAGGATATGCATGCCGAATTTGTTGGCGAGCACGTCTCGCAGGTCACCAGGTCGGTGCCTATGCCAGGCCACCAGTTTGTTCCTGGGTCAGGTCGCCAGGTCGGCGCCTATGCCAGGCTGCCAGTTCGGCACCTGTGCCAGGTCGCCAGGTCGGCACCTGTGCCAGGTCGCCAGGTCGGCGCCTATGCCAGGCTGCCAGTTCGGCGCCTGCGCCAGGCTGCCAGTTCGACGCCTGCTAGGTCGCCAGGTCGACGCCTGTGCTAGGTCGCCAGCTGGGACACCATCATCTTGGCTAAGGCAAGTTGTTGCCTAAGTAGTTCCAGATGTCACCTAATTGTTCCGAGATGCCACGTGTCACAATGTCATTGAAGGGCCAAATCCACCCTCATCAGTTACCAAAAAATGATTCTTTAAAAGAATGAGTTGAGTCCCTGAAGGCATGCGAAACACAACTTTCTTTCTTTTGTTAATAGAGTAGATGCCTGTGTCGTTTATTTCACCAATTGATGATGTTGGACAAGGTCGCCAGGTAAACCTTTTGTTTATAGGAATACCGATTACGCTGGGCTTGAACTTAAAGGAGAGATCAATCATCTATCCGTGAGCGTGACTATTCAAGCAATTCAAATTCAACGAACCAGCTTAGCTTGATTATGATTGGAATACCAATTGGTAATTACTGCATACCTGGGTCACACTTGTATGTTGTATGTGTTTGACCATGGGCCCCCTGGCCCAGCCCGAGCCCTACAATGATCAAAGAAAGCATAATAATATGATGGGAGAATTCTCGATTAGTATCCTATATATTTTGGATCTAGTGCCATTTCCATCTCCAAACTTTAAAACATGACAATTCAGTAATTGAACTTTCATAATGTGTCAATTTAGTATTTACCATTAATCAGCTACTAAATAGCATTTGAAAAGATATAAATGTTCTTTGAGTGTCATCAAATTTTCTTTATCAATCATCCAAAAGTTGATAAAAAAATGAACAATCCCAAATCTTTGCTTCTTCTATTCAAGAAAGTTGGGGCTACTAAAATATCCACTGAAATGTGACCCCAACTTTCTTAAATAGAAGAGGCAAGGATTTAGGACTATTTATGTTTTATCAATGTTTGGATGATTGATCAAGAGAATTACATGACACTCAAAGGACATTTATATATTTTCATTAATGGTAGGTACTGAATTGACACATTTTGAAAGATTGATTATTAATTATCAAATTTTAAAGTTGAAAAATCAAAGTGAAAGTGACACTAGGTCCAAAATATATGATACTAAAAGAGAATTTTCCCTAATAACCAACGTGGACTCACATCACATGACATGAGGTCATGACTCATGAGCCAAACCAACGGTACATATAGCTGATGTTAACAATATAAAAATAGGTTGAAGATGCATCTTTTGTCATGTTTCTAAATTTTCTAATAATAGGATTTGCCTTGAAACTTGAAAGGGAATTCTATGTTTTGTTATGTATAAAAAAGAGAAGCCAATCAGGCAGCCCATGGAATGTATGGCACTATAGAATGAGAAACCCTACAAATAGGCAACTTTGAATCAACTACTATATTCGCTTCATTCCACGTCAGACGCCACAACTAACATTATTTTGACATATATAAATAGATAGATTTTCAGAAATCGGACTGGACGTGAAGGCTACGTTACATGCTTTTGAGATTTAAATTGCACCAAAAAGTAAAAAGTTAGGCCCAACAATGGATTGGATTGGATTGGAACTGGGCCAACTGGGTCGTTTTTTTTTTTTTTTTTTCCTTTTTCTTTTCGTATTAGTAAGAAAAATGAGTTAAATCGAAGAGTACAACAGCTGAACAGGTGGTGATGCGTGAGTCGTGACGCAACTTCCTAGTCCTAATTCGGCACTGATACAGACACGCTCACACGACGGGACGAGCAGGAGCTCCGTTTCGCGGCGTTTCCTTTCGAAGCCGTGACACGTGTCCTCTTCCCACCCGTGGGATCGACCTCTCCATCGAATTTCTTGCCATCTCCTCCGGCCAGCTCCATGAACATCTTCTGAAGGTCCTCAAAGCTGTCTTCCTGCGGTTGATACAAATAACTGAATAAGAATAAAACTTCAAATCCCCAATTATGTCCTCGCACTCGGCAGACGGCAGTTATTATTTCTTTCTTTTTATAATAATAATAATAATAATAATAATAATAATAATAATAATAATAATAAATTTAATTTAAATAAAAAAAGAAATATACCTCGGCCCTCACATCCTCCATCATGGATAACATCTCTTGCATAAAATCACAAAACCCCTGTTTCCAATTTTGCCCAAATTCAAATAATTTAACGAAATTATGAATTAAAATTAAAAAGAAAGTTTTTAGTGTTATAACAGCTAACAGGAGACAATAGGAGCCAAAGCAGAGGGGTTAAATTTGTGAATTATGAAGGGTAAAAGAAGGAAGTTAAACGCACTTGGTCCTCCTCTTCCAACGGATCGTACAGTCCGGCATCGTACATTGACCTCTTCCCTTTATCAGACAAGACTGCAATCCAAAACACCGTCCACGGACGTTATTTTCTCAACAGCAATAGCAACGCTTAAAACGTTGACCTTCAGAGGTCGGCCATGCCTTACCGGAATACGCCTCTTGTATTTGCTGAAACCGCCGTTTTGCTTCACCGGCGGCCGTTGGGTTTTTGGTCCACCTGTCAGGATGCCATTTCTTGATTCACACACCCAAGACCAAGAGGATCAATCAGCTCATAGAATTAGAGAAGTTGTAATTGAACAATTGACCAGGAAGAGAAGAGAGGAGATTAGAAGAACAGAGACCGACCAGAGCAAGTTTTCGATATGCGCCACGGATATCAGAGAAGGAAGCGTCCCTAGGGATCCCGAGAACGGAATAGTAACAGAAAGTGTCGGATCCTCCCGTCCGATCCATAAATATTAAATACGGCGATGACAAAATGAAATGAAATCGGGAGGGAAACTTAGAGCATTAATAAGGAAGGCGCCCCTGCAACAGAGAGGACGAACAAGACAAGAAGAGATGGTTTGTTAACAACAAATCCGAAAATAGGGATAAGAGAAGAAGATATGTAAGTTGAGAGAGTTGGGAGTGAAAGAACAAAAAGGCAAAGATAGAGCTGAAGGGATATTATATATGCTAAAGTCATTATTGGTCCTCATCTCCATGGGTCTCTGAAAAATATCACTCCACTTGTTGGACATGAGGAAACTTCGAGAGATATCAATCAGCAAGATATTTTCTTGCTTCGCATACATGTGCCATCATTCACGTATATTATTACAAGTCCCACAGAGGCTATGTTTGAAAGGAGTCCCAGTATATATACACTATATATATTTGTATTTGTACTTCTATCAAACTCATATTAACCAGGCTTGGATCTGCTACCCACTGTTTATTCCCACATCTTAACCCACAGCCTAGGGGTGTTAATTGGATTGGATTCGGTCCAATCCGATCCAGTCTAATGTGAGTCCATTATAAATGGACCAGGTCCAATCCAATCCAATGAATGTTTTGGATCGGTCCAATTCAATGTCTGGGTCGTTTAATCTGTTCAAATTCATTTTGATTTAGACTGCTTTCAATCTAAACTCGGTTCGTTGACACATATATTCTTATCTTATATTGATGGATTAGATATTGGCTTGATCAAACCCAATCCAATATAATTTGTTACGGACGGACCAGGTCCAATCCAATCTAATAAATATTTTGGACCGAATTGGTCCAATCCAATATGTTTTGTTGGTCCATCCAAATTGACTTTGGACTGGACAGGGTCCAATCCAATACCGGTCCATTGACACCCTTACGCACAGGATATAACAGTTGTGCGTTGGGAATGAGATCAGCTTCTATCAGGGAAAATCTATGCCCACACCATTCTAACAGCATTTTGCAACTTTGCATTGGGAATATCTCTCCATGAAATAAAACACACAAGTACGGAGATATTCTCAATGAAGACAATAAAGGCTGTTCGAATGGGCTTTGCCCTGACTGAAGCCGAATTCATTGCAAATATCAGTCTTTTTCATTCATAGGGAGATATTATCAATAGTTCAATACACAATGTGGTGTTCTGTGGATATAGATGTGGGAACAAGTAGTTGGTAGCAGATCTCAAATGTACATTCACCAGCAACCAACATGGCTTATATTTTTACTTTTTAGGCATCTTTTTGGGTTAATATAATGTTTATTTTTAGACATCTATAGATTATCTATCCTACATATTATATAGTCTGCGGTTTAGCTGCCCAATTGCCTATAAAGCCCTATATAAAATAATACAAAATATAAGGATTTATACTTTACATATCTGTATTTATACTCCTTCCAAATTGAGCATATTTGGAAAATGAAATGCAGGTTTTAGCTCTCCCTCTAATAATAAATTCATACAATCAAACTATGCATATAGAATACCCTTACCCCCTATGAGCACTAAGTTTTTAATTACAAAAAGAAGATAAATCCTTAAAATAAGGAATGTCAAATGCAACATAAATGTCCATATACGTGTTGAAAAATTATCATTTCGATCCTAAGGTTGTGTAGTTCTATAGAGAAATAAGTGTTAAGATGACATTATAGGATAATAAGATGACATTATATATATGTTTTACCCTCTACTACCATCCACTTACATGTCTGTAAATCTATACTACTTTAAAAAGCATGAATAGCCTTATGAATATTTTCTATATTTTTTGAGGACAAAATTTACCCTTTCATATTTAAATTTATTGATAAAAAATGAGGGCAAAAGAGTAATCAATTATTGATATTAAATGAGTTGAGAAGAGACAATTATAAGATATTCAATGCATTCAATTTCCTCTCCTAAAATCTAACAATTAAGGTGTTAATTTGCGCTCACCTTCATCGAATCATATATTTAAGGCATTTTATTTCTTCTCATCATTAAATTCTAATAATTAAATCCATTCATAATAAATTAATAATTCCAATAACATAAAAACATACTTTTAAAATCTACCTGAAAAAATAGTGTTTTCATCTAGGTGGTGGTAACAAATTAAATAATTTTAGGTTAAATGGGTCAATCCATGTTGCTACAATTAAATAATAAAATTCAAAATAGATAAAATGCAAAAAATATAGAAATTCAAAAAAATTGGTACATTTTTAACATCATATATTTGACATATTAAAAAATAATAAGTATGATAAATAAGAAATGTTTTTATTAATGATGGAAAGGGAATATAAAATTTAAAACCAATTATAAATAGAACTATTTTTCCATTCTCTCTCATTAAATCTCATACTAAAGTATATTCTCTCATTAAATCCACAAAATTAATTTTAATAGTATAAAAATAAATATTTTGAAAAATAATTTGAAAACAAATCTAATTTCTTCCCTCCCAGTGGTGGATAAGCAATTCAACCATTTGGGGTCAAATGGGATAATAAATAATGTCATAATTAAATAATAAAAAATAAAGTAGATAAAATATATATTACAAAAAATAAAAAGAATTTTATATATCTCTAATATTGTATATTCATTATATATATATATATATATATATATATATATATATATATATACACTAAATAAAAATACATATGAAATGTAATAAGTAATTTTGTTAATGATTAAAATGGAAAGCCAAATTTAAAATAAACCTAGAAATGAAATGAAGTCATAGTCAAGTAATAAAATTTTTAAAAATTGAAAATTTAAAGAATAACAAAAAGAAAAAAAGAAAAAAATTGGGCACATATCTAATGTTATATATTCATAAAAATAAATATTAGGTACATCTCTAGTATTACACATTCATTATATTGAACAAAAATAAGTATTATACATAAGAAATAATTTTATCAATGATGGAAATGTAATACAAAATTTAGTGCTAATATAGAAATCAAACTATTTTCCTTTTTGGGTTGTGGGTTAGTGATATGGGTCAAATGGATTTATCGATGATATGATATGATAGTTAAATAATAAATCTTTAAAAAAAAGTACAAGTAATCAAAAGAATATAAAAAAATTACATATTAATTATATCAAGCAAAAATTAAGTGTGATAAGTAAAAATTATTTATATAATGTATATGAGATATAATTTAAAACAGATCCTAAAGCAAAGCTATTTTCTTATCTAGATGGTGAGTCAATGATCCAACTTTTCAAAAAAAAATCATGATGTCATAATTGAATAATAAATATTTAAAAAAGATAGAACACAAACAATGAAAAAGTATAGAATTTTGTTGCATTTGAGAACATTTATAATGTTTTATATTCATCATAATAAATAAAAATCATTGTTAAAATAAAAAATGCTTTTATTTATGACAAAAATGGAATACAAAATTTAATAATAATAATAATAATAATAATAATTCTTATTATTATTTAAAATTTCCACATGCAATGCACATGCACATTTACTACAAGCATTTGAGTTTATTTTTAATCATATTGTTACTTTTGTTAATTTTCAATTTTTATCTTAACTATGATATATCTAAAATTTAAGTAATTAATATAAAAAAAAATTCTCATGTGCAATGCACGTGCTTAATTACTAGTGCCCATATAAGTGAGAATACAGGATAACCATCACAGATTGCCTTATGACCTCGGATCTATTACCTACGAGATGTTCCCACACCTCTACCCACTAGACATGACAGCTACACATGGGGAATATCTCCCTCTAGAGGTGTAAACCGTGTCGTGCCGCCTGTGGCCTGACACAACCCGACACGGCGGTCCGTGGGCCATGACACCCGTGGTACGACCCAACACGCCCCATATATATTATTTATATATTTATATATTATATATAATATATTATATAAATTATAATTATATAATAATGTATAGTATATAATATATTAATAAAATAAACAATTGTTTTCAATTTTATTATACTAATTTATTTAATTATTGTATATATAAGCAACTTGATGGTGTGCGATCCGGTCGGTCTTAGCTGCCGGTAACCTTGCCTCTGACAGAGCTGAAGATGCCTGAAACAGGGGAGAAACTGGAGGTTTCCGGGGAGAAACCCGGTGGGAATAGTCCGAAGCTCAAGTAAATACTCTTTGAGAAGGCAAGGGAAAATAGGGGATTTCAAGACCAGAAAGCACAGAAATCGCATACCTCTTTCTTTGGGGGGAAGAAGGCCTTTTATAGTCACCTGGTGCACTTACTTCCAAGTTCTACCAAGTCAGGTATAACCGCCTCTATGGGGGGCAGGCATAACCGCCATTGTCCTCTCTGTCAGGGCTGTCTCTGCCACAGCTAAGATGGCAGTGGTAGGTGGCTGTTACAGCGTGATTGCCATCTGTCAGACCCAGACCAGTCAGACGTGCTGCCTCAGAGTACGGAGCCGTCAGATATGGTTTCACAGTTGTGCGACATGGAGTCGAGGTGCCGGAGTGATGCACGAGGTGAAGTCTTGAGTTCAGATGAGAGTGTCCTCAGCTCGCGTCACTTTCCTTAGTTCGGTAGTGTTTCCCTTGGTGAGTCCCCTTAGCCTTTTCAATTTCCTTTCCTTTCCTTTTGTGATGTCTAGTTCGAGTAGCTCGGGTAGCTTAGATAATCTCTTAGAAGGGCATGAGGCGGAGACCTCTGGCCGGGTAGACTCTTTTGACAGCCTTCTGGATGAGCCCGAGGTAGGGCCTTCAACCCGGGTCACCCCAGGTAGCCTAGAGTCCACTTCTAGTCGGGTTCGGATGTCGGACACGTTCGGACCTTCCACTATGACGTCTGAGAGACTTCGGTCCCTTGTTCGTCAGTTCAACCTGCCTAGGGAGTATGCATATAGCTTACCTTCGGGCAACTTCCCTTGGGAGCACGGTCCAGATGAGATTGTGGTCTTCCGGGAGCAGCTCATTGCCGGGCTGCGCCTTCCTCTCCACCCCTTAATCATCGAAGTCTTGTACCACTTCGGCGTCTCAGTCAGTCAGCTTCATCCGAACTCTATTCGCAACATTGTCGGGACCATATCCCTCTGTTGTGAATATGTTATTCCTTTGGACTTAGAAATTTTTTCTGCTCTTCTTATGCTCAAAAAACAAGCGAGCTACCTTCCCGAGTACAGGCGGGCTAACTACCTGTCTCCTCGCCCAGGATTCAAACTTCTTC